TCACTCCAACTGAATCCGGTTTCGAACCCTCATACACAAACATGCACACACCAACACACCACACACACACACAGCCACACATCATCAAACACCACACACATCCACCAAGCTTGCAACAATGGCTAGTCCCCAAGCTCCAGGCGACCTACCGTCTATACAGAGAACAGTTGAAGTTTGGCATTTTCGACATGACGACACTGAGGACGGAACCTGGGTCAGCGGGAACATTGATAACCCACATACAATGAATACTGCGGGAATTGATTAGTGTGGAACGACAGATGCTCTCAGAGGGGACACAGTACACGGGCTCCACCACTCGAGCTGAAGACTCAGACGTCACAGGACGTTAGAAAGTACTTCTTTCTAGTCAAGAGCGTCAGGAAGTGGAATAGCCTACAGAGTCGAAGTAGTGGAGGCAGCATCTTATACATAAGTTTTAAGATAGACTCATGACTATAGGAAGCAGAGTGGAAGGACCGAAGTAGCGATCAGTGAAATGGCCGGGGCCGAGCTGATCTCGACCCTGCAACCACAATTAGGTGAGTACATCACACAACGAGGCATGGAAGACCTCAAATGTAGTCCCCATTTTTTTAAGATAGGAGACAAAAACGAGGCACTAAAATACAGACCAGTCTACTGAACGTTTTAGAATATGCAAAGTCATGGCAAAGATTATGAGCAGAGTGGTAAATCCACTTGTGAGGATTCTTTATCTTATAACTCCACGCCGTTGCCGAAGACCCTCGATTTCTTCTCTTACAACCCCTTCTATATTATATAAACACCACTGGGGGGGGGGGTGACATCAGCACATCTTGTCTAAGGCCTACATTTACTGGAAAAAATTCCCCTCTTTCCTACATACTCTAACTTGAGCCTCACTAATCCTCGTAAAAACTCTTCACTGCTTTCGAAACCTACCTCCTACACCATACACTTGCAACATCTGCACATTGCCCCCCTATCCACACTGTCATACGCCTTTTCCAAATCCATAATGCCACAAAGACCTCTTTAGCCTTATCTAAATACTGTTCACTTATATGTTTCACTGTAAACACCTGGTCCACACACCCCCTACCTTTCCTAAAGCCTCCTTGTTCATCTGCTATCCTATTCTCCGTCTTACTCTTAATTCTTTCAATTATAACTCTACCATACACTTTACCAGGTACACTCAACAGACTTATCCCCCTATAATTTTTGCACTCTCTTTTATCCCCTTTGCCTTTATACAAAGGAACTATGCATGCTCTCTGCCAATCCCTAGGTACCTTACCCTCTTCCATACATTTATTAAATAATTGCACCAACCACTCCAAAACTATATCCCCACCTGCTTTTAACATTTCTATCTTTATCCCATCAATCCCGGCTGCCTTACCCCCTTTCATTTTACCTACTGCCTCACGAACTTCCCCCACACTCACAACTGGCTCTTCCTCACTCCTACAAGATGTTATTCCTCCTTGCCCTATACACGAAATCACAGCTTCCCTATACTTCATCAACATTTAACAATTCCTCAAAATATTCCTTCCATCTTCCCAATACCTCTAACTCTCCATTTAATAACTCTCCTCTCCTATTTTTAACTGACAAATCCATCTGTTCTTTAGGCTTTCTTAACTTGTTAATCTCACTCCAAAACTTTTTCTTATTTTCAACAAAATTTGTTGATAACATCTCACCCACTCTCTCATTTGCTCTCTTTTTACATTGCTTCACCACTCTCTTAACTTCTCTCTTTTTCTCCATATACTCTTCCCTCCTTGCATCACTTCTACTTTGTAAAAACTTCTCATATGCTAACTTTTTCTCCCTTACTACTCTCTTTACATCATCATTCCACCAATCACTCCTCTCCCTCCTGCACCCACTTTCCTGTACCCACAAACTTCTGCTGAACACTCTAACACTACATTTTTAAACCTACCCCATACCTCTTCGACCCCATTGCCTATGCTCTCATTAGCCCATCTATCCTCCAATAGCTGTTTATATCTTACCTAACGCCTCCTCTTTTAGTTTATAAACCTCACCTCTCTCTTCCCTGATGCTTCTATTCTCCTTGTATCCCATCTACCTTTTACTCTCGTGTAGCTACAACTAGAAAGTGATCTGATATATCTGTGGCCCCTCTATAAACATGTACATCCTGAAGTCTACTCAACAGTCTTTTATCTACCAATACATAATCCAACAAACTACTGTCATTTCGCCCTACAATCATATCGTGTATACTTATTTATCCTCTTTTTCTTAAAGTATGTATTACCTATAACTAAACCCCTTTCTATACAAAGTTTCAATCAAAGGGCTCCCATTATCATTTACACCTGGCACCCCAAACTTACCTACCACACCCTCTCTAAAAGTTTCTCCTACTTTAGCATTCAAGTCCCCTACCACAATTACTCTCTCACTTGGTTCAAAGGCTCCTATACATTCACTTAACATCTCCCAAAATCTCTCTCTCTCCTCTGCATCCTCTCTTCTCCAGGTGCATACACGCTTATTATGACCCACTTCTCGCATCCAACCTTTACTTTAATCCACATAATTCTTGAATTTACACATTCATATCTCTTTTCTCCTTCCATAACTGATCATTTAACATTACTGCTACCCCTTCCTTTGCTCTAACTCTCTCAGATACTCCAGATTTAATCCCATTTATTTCCCCCCACTGAAACTCTCCTACCCCCTTCAGCTTTGTTTCGCTTAGGGCCAGGACATCCAACTTCTTTTCATTCATAACATCAGCAATCATCTGTTTCTTGTCATCCGCACTACATCCACGCACATTTAAGCAACCCAGTTTTATAATAATAATAGTTATATTTGGGCATATAAGTTCAAAAGTAACCTGAATGATGGTCAAGCATTGATGGGATGCAATATACAGCAGAAGGAAATGGAACCGGTAATAATTAACAATGTGCCAATTACAGTACTATTAGGTAGTATCAAGCCTCAACTGAATCCGTGTGAAAACACACACACACACAAACACACACAAAGGTTTGCAACAAGGCTAGTCCCAGAGCTCAGGGGAATGTCGTACGAGGAAAGGTTGAGGGATTTCGGACTGACGACACTGGAGGACGGAAGGGTCAGGGGAGACATGATAACGACATACAAGATACTGCGGGGAATAGACTAGGTGGACAGACAGGATGTTTCAGAGGGGACACAGAAACAAGGGGTCACAACTGGAAGCTGAAGACTCAGACGAGTCACAGGGACGTTAGGAAGTACTTCTTCAGTCATAGAGTCGTCAGGAAGTGGAATAGCCTAGCAAGTGAAGTAGTGGAGGCAGGAACCATACATAGTTTTAAGAAGAGGTATGACATAGATCAGGAAGCAGAGAGGGAGAGGACCGAGTAGCGATCAGTGAAGAGGCGGGGCCAGGAGCTGAGTCTCGACCCCTGCAACCACAATTAGGTGAGTACACACACACACACAAGAGGTATGGAAGACGGCAAATGTAGTCCCCATTTTTAAGAAAGGAGACAAAAACGAGGCACTAAAATACAGACCAGTGCCACTGACGTGTATAGTATGCAAAGTCATGGAAAAGATTATGAGGAGAGTGGTAAAGCACCTGGAACGGAACAAGATTATAAACGCCAACCAGCACGGATTCACGGAAGGCAAATCTTGTGTTACAACCCTTCTGGAGTTTTATGACTAAGTAACGGCACTAAGACACGAGAGAGAGGGATGGGTTGATTGCATTTTCTTGGACTGCAAAAAAGGCCTTCGACAAAGTTCCTCACAAGAGATTAGTGCAGAAACTAGAGGTTCAGGCACGTATAACAGGAAGGGCACTGTAAAGGATCAGAGAATACCTGACAGGGAGGCAACAACGAGTCATAGTACGTGATGAGGTATCACAGTGGGCGCCTGTGACGAGCAGGGTCCCACAGGGGTCAGTCCTAGGACCAGTGCTATTTTGAGTATATGTGAATGAAATGCTGGAAGGGATAGACTCAGAAGTGTCCCTCTTCGGAGGTGATGTGAAGTTAATGAGGAGAATTAAATCAGATGAGGATCAGGCAGGACTACAGAGACCTGGACAGGCTGGACACCTTGTCCAGCAACTGGCTCCTCGAATTTAAATCAGCCAACTGAAAAGTCATGAAGATAGGGAAAGGGCAAAGAATACCGCAGACAGAATATAGGCTCGGTGGCCAAAGACTGCAAAACTCGCTTAAGGAAAAAGATCTTGGGGTGAGTATAATACCAAGCATATCTCCGGAAGCACACATCAACCAGATAACTGTTGCAGCATATGGGCGCCTGGCAAACCTGAGAATAGTGTTCCGATACCTCAATAAGGAATCGTGTACGTCAGGCCCACACTGGAGTATGCAGCACCAGTTTGGAACCCACACCTTGTCTAGCACGTCAAGAAATTAGAGAAAGTGCAAAGGTTTGCAACAAGGATAGTTCGAGCTAAGGGGAAAGTCCTACGAAGAAAGGTCGAGGGAAATCGGCCTGACGACAGTGGAGGACAGGAGGGTTAGGGGAGACATGATAACGACATACAAAATACTGCATGGAATAGATAAGGTGAACAGAGACAGGATGTTCCAGAGATGGGACACAGAAACAAGGGGTCACAATTGGAAGTTGAAGACTCAGATGAGCCAAAGGGATGTCCGGAAGTATTTCTTCAGTCATATAGTAGTCAGTAAGTGGAATAGTCTGGCAAGTGATGTAGTCGACGCAGGAACCATACATAGTTTTAAGACGAGGTATGATAAAGCTTATGGAGCAGGGGAGAGAGAACCTAGTAGCAATCAGTGAAGTGGCGGGGCCAGGAGCTGAGTCTCGATCCCTGCAACCACAAATAGGCGAGTATATATAGGCGAGTACACACACATACACAAGAATAGGTGCTTCTCTGGGGTATTTCCGTTTATGTTAGAAGACTTTTACACACATGTAACCCTCCCCCCCTTCCTTGCCCAGTTTTACACACTCACTGATACAACGCAGAGGTCGCCAGCAGCTAGCTGCATCATGGTAATGTTGTGCAGCTCCTGTAGCTGGTCCAGACCGACGTTTAGGGCGTGGGTGGTATTAGCATGGGCGTGAAGGAGGTGGTCGATCTGACCAGCTGTAGATATATCTTCTTGAGTATAATTGGCCACCTTGAGAACTTCCATGACTATCTCCTTGCCACGGAGTTTGGCAGAGACTACTAATGAATTTTCGAGCCCTTGAAGTTGGTCTTCGAACTTCTTGTACACGTCTTGCATCTGCGAGGTGATCAGCCGATTCGAGGAGGTGATGGCCGCTAGGAGATTGTCTTGCAAGATTCGCTGGCGTACAGAGGAAGTGTGAAGGAGAGCCCCAAGACGCTTGTCCATAGCCAAGTTGGACACACGGATTCGGTTAAAGACGGCAGCGATGAGGTGTTTGGTAATGTTGTTACTGGGAGATACAAGCTCCTCCAGGCGAGATAAAGACTTCTGACAGTCGGTGACTCCTTGAGCGCAGCACTCTGGCAAACTACTGTTGACCGCGCCCTCCACCACACGTTCAAGGTAGCCCTTCATGTCCTGAAGGACGACCTCAGTAGCATGGGTAACATTATAGGTGTAGTACTCCATCATGTATTTGGACGTGTGGCTTGCGTTGACTATCAAAGCTACAGCTTCTTCACACTTTACTGGGTACAAACTTGTCCTCGCCATGTCAATATTCAGGTTCACGTTATTTATATTCCCTGCTATCGTGTTCAAGGTGATGTTTGTTGCTGCTAGCTTCACTCCTAAGCTATATTCTATTTCTTCCAACTTTGTTTCAATTTTACTTTCTAATTCACCAATCATTTCTTCCACTTTGTTCTTTATTTCAAACAATTTGGTATCGACCACCCCCAGAAGTGTCTCCTGTTGGGTCTCCATGGATTCCAGTTTCTTCTCCAGCATCGAGTTTTTTATTTCTTGGTCCTTCAAAAGGTTGGTCATTAGGTCAAGTTTGGTCTCGAGATGATCCATCTTACTGACCATAACGATAAGGGTGTCCAGTTTCATATGGGCGGATTCTTGCCTCACGAAGCTAGAGTGAGGATCAGACATGTTTGTGGAGATGACGTGTGTCACCACTGTCCCTGACACGTACCTCAACACAACTGTTACAGCTGCCCAGTGGACAAAACTTTCATGTTTCATCGCCATTGTCTCAGTTATTTTGAACCTGTGTGGTGATCAGCGTTTACAACAAGGAATCATCTCTTCCTGGCATGTGAAATCATTTAGGACGTGACCAGTGCTGGACACTTCTCATAACACATCAAAGTGGTGTTGTGCATATGGATAAGATAATGGTTTGGAGTGGATGTTAAGCACTGCGCACCGTCGCCAGACTCCAGAGAAAGACTGATGTGAGGGTGAGCTGGCCAACCCTCGTTTACAAGGTTAAAAACTCGTACAGGAGCCCCACTCTATACCCTCACTAACTCATTCTCTCACCACCAATAACAATTGTGCAGTTCTGAACGTTAATTGGCTACGCTCGGCTACCTACTTGCAAGACGTATCACGGTAGTTTTATTTTATTTATTTGTGGTTAATTATGTCAGCGAATTTTTTGGGGTTATCTTAGGTAATTTACAAATATCACTATGTATGATGCTTGTACTTACGTGTATCTTTACCTAAATAAACCTACTTAAAGTGTTCTATACTTTAATACACTTAACCCCTAGTTAACCTGACTTTCAATAAAATAAATATTATTTATAAGTTTTCGAGAAGAATTAACAAACTGATAGTGGGTTCCTTATAAAAATTTAACGTAGTAAAGTGAGGAAAAGTTGAGTGAAAATATAAAAGTTATTTAAACTAAAGACAAGCTGCTGTCAGCATGATGATTTGTCTGCCCCTCTTACTGTCCCAGGAGCTACACCCTACATGTCCTGGGTGACCTCAGTGTGTGCTGGCTGTAACATCGTCCTCCATCATTCCAGTTAATCAACCAACACTGACCAGCTAACACTCATGGGAACATCTTGTCACTTCACGACCTTCATTTCCGGCCAGAAAATTCACCTGAATTCACTAAAACGAGAATTTTGTTTTGTACGTTCGTTAATAACAATTCGCTGTATGGGCCATACGGGTTTATATATTAGTGGTGCATATCGGCGATGATATTAATAAAACACTATGTGCAGTTTCTGGAATTTCATAGAGAAGACATTTCGCCCGCCGAGAATTTTGTTAATTCGAGAACTGAGAATTCAATCACCTTTCGCTTGTTAGTTGAGAATGTGTAAGTTATCTTACGGCCTGAGCCCCTGTCTACCTAGCACTACCTAGGAGTTATGTTCTGTCCACTTAGCACTACCTAGGAGTTATGTAGCAGTAGCTAGGTGGACAGTGGCACCTAACTCTTGACTGTGAGTTACAACCAGAAACAAGTTACTAGGCTTGACAAATGGGCGGAGGGGTACATTAGTCCAAATAAATGGAGTTTTTTCTCCATTTTTCAGATCAAACATGATATCTTCCTATTCACCAGGGGCTGTATGATCACTACAGGTTTAGTGCTTCCCCACGAATATATAATGGAAGGGTTTGTAACCGACGTTGTTGGTATGGAGAGAAGAAAGGGGAGGGAGGGAACTAGAAATTTCTCAGTGTACATACTGAGGGATAGACACCTCTTTTTGTGTATTCACTGAGATATACATATTTCTCAGTGTGTATACACTGGAATGAGCACCTCTCGTAGCTCGATCGTTAGTGCACTCAGTTCTCACACTGAGGTCCGGAGTTTGTATCTCCGGTACTGCTGTAAAACATTAAGGGCGTGTTTCCATAAGACACCTGCCGTCCATGTCATCATTATAAAATAGGTGCCTGGGTATTAGTAGACTGGTGTGGGTCGCATCCTGGGACAAAATTGACCTAATTTGCCCGAAATGCTCAGCATAACAAGCGGCTTTCTATATAGTAGTGTCATTGATGTCAGCTAGACCAGTATCCCTTGTACATGTACTTATAGAAATATAGATATTATTATTATTATTATTATTATTATTATTATTATTATTATTATTATTATTATTTGTATATACACTCCTAGTGTATATACAAAGGGAGGTGAATATCTCTAAGGGTACATACTCTGAGGGGAAAGTCCCTTTTCTATATACATACTGAGGGATACACAGCTGTCAGTGTATACAGTGTGTATACACAGATGCATGCCTTTTTGTGTATATATACTATAAGATAAGCGCATCTTATTGCAGACACACACAGGTACACACCTCTCAGTGCAAACACACTGAGAGACGGAAACCTCTCATTGTATATACACTGAGAGAAAAACATTTGTCAGTTTATAACAATGAAAAATATACATCAGTGTATATGTAGCATGGCTCACATAGTAATGTGCTTTTTATTTTAAAAAGGCCCGGTGGCCTGGTGGCTAAAGCTCCCGCTTCACACACGGAGGGCCCGGGTTCGATTCCCGGCGGGTGGAAACATTTCGACGCGTTTCCTTACACCTGTTGTCCTGTTCACCTAGCAGCAAATAGGTACCTGGGTGTTAGTCGACTGGTGTGGGTCGCATCCTGGGGGACAAGATTGAGGACCACAATGGAAATAAGTTAGACAGTCCTCGATGACGCACTAACTTTCTTGGGTTATCCTGGGTGGCTAACCCTCCGGGGTTAAAAATACGAACAAAATTTTAATCTTAAGTAGAGTAATTTCAAGGAGAGTATTGTTGCTGGACATCACTGGGCGACATCCACTGTCGTTACTTATGGTGTTCTTGATGTTTTTGCTAACGTTAATGTTGCTAATATTGTTGTCATTGTAGCTTTTGATGCATTGATTATTATAACATTTATTCTGCTGCTAACGATCTGCTGCTATTTCTGATCGAAACTTTTCAGCACATTAGCCACTTCCTGATTCAGTTGATATGTCCACGGCTCACAATGAGAGACCGGGGATAGCTCCCCGGCATGAGTGAGACATTGGGGGATGATTAAGACACATGTGCAACAGTTGGTATCTTTGTTGCTGAAACGTATCGCCTACAGTGTAGGCTTCTTCAGTCAAATATAGAGGCAGTAAGTGTAGTAATGAAATGAAGATGGCGTAATCAGTCCATTAACCTTGGAGAAATAGTATTTGAGGTGGTCAGTCCCTCAGCCTGGAAAAGAGTTCAGCTCCATGGTCTGGAATGATCTGAAATGAAGCAAGAAAATCTCGAAGACGTTGCAAGGGACGGATTCATCAGAAGTAAGAAGACGTCCCTCTGGAATCCAGCTCTTCTCACTCATAACTTGTATTTATGCGATGAAATGTGGAAGATGTTTCTGTACAAAGATACCACTGGGGATGTTTCTGTGCATTTACTGCCTCTGTTCACCTAGCATTAAGTAGGCACCAGAGTAGTAGGTATATTATTGTAGGTCGGAACCTGGAGAGGAGGGTTAAAGAACCCTAATGGTTGTAAGAGAGACAATCCCCGATAACATTCTGAATTTACTGGATTATCCTGGGTTACTAACCCTCCGGTTTAATAATCCTAATAAAATAATCTTCCTTTACTGAAAATTTATAGTAGTATCTCCTTATTGCTGTTGTTACTTTGGCAGTTCGTTTTCAGTGAATCTTACCACTAACTTAAAAATATAAATATGTTCCTCCATTAATGGATAAATCGCCGTGTTCACTGTTAATCAACAAGGGTTTAGCTAAGGATAATATAAAATATTTAAGCAGTATATATTTAAACTGGATTCTTTCATTTCTTTTGCGTTTTGGTTTAGTAAGGTCAAGAAATATTGACTACACGAGGCTCATTATTCTGCAGGTCACTGTATACACCACACTCAAAGATACTTTAATAACTAATATAGCAATAAATTTAAAGCTAAGTATATACATACTAAGGTATACACCCCTCCAAGTGTATTTACATTGTTGCTCTCAGTGTATACACAACAATAGAGATATACTCATCAGAATATATACAGGGTCTAGGAGCTGTGGCTCGTTCCTGCAGTGAATTTCCCACTGCACTACATGTAAAAAAGTATCATTAGCAAGAAACACACTGATCTAGATTCAGGTTCAGCAAAACTAGTTTGAAAAAGTTTAGTTTCTTTGACCTTAATTCTGGTACATAATTAACGTCATAACTGACGGATTTCCATCTTGTCAAATTTCAGTTACCCAGTTACTGGAGACCCAGTTGTTACCTAAGTACAATTTTTTTTGTCTTCCATTAACTTCTGCCAAAGGCTTTTATGATTAACTTCTGAAAGCCTTACTGGATCGCTTCAAATTTTTAACCATGGTGGTTATAATTAGAGGGAAGGTTCATGGAACAGCTGACATATGCCCTCTTAAAATTGTTGGGGTCTGTGTAATAACTGAACAATACAGCTTCTGGTCAGCTTTAAGCACTTAGTCCTGATGTGTTTTTATCAAAGGAAGCTTCGTCTTTGTTAAACAAATTGTGTTTCATGATATAACTGGAGAATGTCTCTCCTCATCAGGAGTCAACATTTGACTTTACTGGGTTATCTGCATGTCCTCAAGGCCAGTGTAACAAATATGAGTGTTATGTATACAAAGTATAAATAAAAGTTACTTACCTTTAATTACTAGTCAGTCTACTTAAAGAAAATTTTGGATTGAGTATAGCCTGTGTAGGTCTGAAATTGGCATTGTTATTGAAAGAATTAGATGTTTTATTTATTTTTTTTTTTTTTTATTCACTGGTATTCTCCCGGCCCGGGTCTTTTCCAAGTAGTGGTGACCCGGCCTTGGCTCCCTATCTGGGGAGTGTCTCGAGACTTAAGTCTCCCATGGGAGGAAGGACAAGTACCTCCTCATCTTTGGGACCAAGTGTCCCCAGGCCTAGCCACATTCCCCGCCCTCACGGGGCTCGTAGGGAGAAGCTAGGCCTCTGGTCTGCCATCTACCCCGCCTCAAAGGGGCTCGTGGGGATGGCAGTCTTATGAGCTGCAGATGGTAGCAAGCTCAGGCTCTATAGATGTTTTAAGTATATTTATGGTTTCTTATCCGATTGCCTTCAAACTTTCATCCCAATAAATTGATTATGCAACTTCTGAGCGGCTTTGAATTTTAGTGTATTATGGGATATTTATGTTGGGCCGTGTATGTCCTAATTTGTCATTAAAAAACTGAATGCCTCTTCCCTTTCCTTAATATTTAACTGCATTACAAACTTATGCCACACTCTTCACAATGTCTTTCGCCTGCATTAAGGTATAGGGGACTGGGATTATGTAATACAGGTATACCTTTCTCGGCTCGTGCAGCAACTAAAATGCATCTACTTTCTGTTTAGGTCCTTATTGTGGAAAATACTGTATATATTTTCCAGAAATTCAGTAT